ACAATAGTCTTCATATTCAGAGCGCAACAGCAATGATTGTAGCTTCTTGAACATGGCATAATGTACACTTCGCACTAACTAAGAACTGAAAACATAACTTTTTGGAAGAACCGTACAATTAATGAAAATTAAATCCTCCTATATCTGTCATTCCACTTACCTTTTAATGAATTCAGTGCGAGTGTACCAAAAAATGGACAACAATACCAAATAGGAAATAGTGAAGATTACCTGAACAATCCGAGAATGCTTGACGTGACTTCACGCATTTTCGTAGCATAGCCAGATATACACTAAGCAAGCTAACAGAATGTGCACTGAATACAAACCCCAGTTCATAGGCTGTGTGTGCATTGACACGTCTATTATCTGTTATCCGTTAACTCAACCAATTTGACGGACGCGTTAGCAGAAGAGCAAAGGAATTGCGAATTTGCTCATATAACGTCAACACTGCACTGCAGTTTGGAAGAAATGCTCGGAATTTGACAGTTTTTTGTTGAATTTAATTAAATAAATTAGTATAATTATTATACGTAAGTCAAAGTAAGATGGAGACATGTGTCTTCAAGAAAAATGTGCAATCGTGAGTGCTTAGAATGACGTGCTGTAAGCTCTGCACTAATTGGGGATGACACGCTGAACTTTTACTAATGTCAGTTTTGATTGTTGCACTGCCGTTGTCGTATGTCAAGTTTAAAATTTGCTCTACTCATCCTAACTTTCTATTGTACATAACCTATAAGACAGCTGCCATAAATTTTTTATTTTACGTAAGTTAAAGTACGTGAAAAGTTACAGAATTACCAATGCTGTACTTACTATTCTTTCAGTCTTGAGAATTATCTGCACAATATTGGTAATTCTGTAACTCTTAACGAACAATACTACTGAAGAAAATACTGAAATTTCAATAATTTTAGTACAACGTGAATGCGTAAATTGTCATTCACACGTCGAACGGCGAGCGAACAAATGTGTAAATCCGATATTTCTTTCTACACGTCTGCGTGCTCCGACACTAGCACCTTTGGCAGAAATTTTCTGATCTGCTTGCTAAAGGAGAAATACAAACTGTCCTTTACGTAAGCACAGAGCGTTTTTTATTATTTTTTATACTTAAGCCTTACTTTTCTCTCTTTGACCAAACCTTATCGAGTCAAGGCACAACTAGACATTGTAAATACTGATTGCTTACGCTATGAAGTCCTGGAAAATTCGGGATTTAAACGGAGATCAATTGTGTGCAATTCATCTGTTTTTTCAGTTCCGGATTAAATCTCCGTCACATGCATGGCCAATAATGATACAAAATCAGTGGCTGTCTAAGTTGATCCTTAGTTCGGTCTCTATAATATGCGTTCTATAATCACATTATCAAATTATATCTACATTATCAGTAATATCAGAAAATATGGTTGCAAGCTTAGAGTTGATTTATTGAATCAACATGAATTAAGTGCTCATCTATGCACAAGATATTTGCAAGTGAAGAATTATTTCAAATTTTTGTTACAAATAACTTTCTCAAATTTTTACTATTTCATTTTTAAAATCAAAAAAATAAATCTTACTCTATCCATCTACGCTAATTTTTATAGCTGCAAAATGTGCTCTATTTCCTTAAGATTCACTAAGATGCTAATCTCGTGATTCAGAGCAATACTTCTCGTCTTCAGAATACTAATTGATTAAAACGGCCCACAGAATTATGTTAACATTCTCATTCTTTTGATTATTAGCACTCATATACTGAAATAATTCATATTTCAGTACCCATCGATCAACATAACGTAAATTCATATACTCAAATCGTAATTAAATTTAAGATTTGTTCAATAAAATCTATTATTAAATTATAGTTTTCTTAAATTTTAGCTCAGCAAACATATACTAAAATAATACTTCCTTTGGACTCACTAAGGTAATAATCTCAAACGAAAATTTTCCTTCTAAACTTTTACTTTAAATTGGATTATTCAATTCCGCTTTATGATAATTCGATAAAAAGATTCACAAACTCTGTTAGATTCTTTTTTTTCAAGCTTCTCTAGCAACTGAACAAAATTTGATATCAGAAACAAAAAATTTATTTATTTTTTCAATTTTTGCTATAATATTTAGTTTTTGCTATAAAATAATCATTTTTAATTATTTAAATGAATTAATATACATTTTATCATTAAAATGGCATCCATTTATGTTGAAAAGAGAAGTTTACTTTTCATTGACATAATTTAATATTGCTTACTAAATATTAAATATTTTAAAAGGATCAAACAAAATATAGTCATGGAAATGGTAAAAAGTTAACTCTAATATAAGCAACCTTAATTTAGAATAATAATTTAAAGCAAAAGTTTAGAAGAAAAATTTTCGTTTGAAAATAATCCAATATTGGACAGCAATATTTTAATTCTAATCTAGTCTTAAAAGTTATATAGCTAAGATTAAAGAGAGTGCAAAAATTTATTAAAAATATTACTAAATTTGCATTCTGTTTGACCTCAACTTGACATCTGTTGAAAAATTAATTTTTCGCATATGATATTAAAACGGTGCACATATTTAATTAATTCTTGAAAGTACCTTTTGAAACTTTGAAAATAATCATCTTAGTAAATTTGCGCTTACTTTAATTTCAAATTCATAACTTCCATTACTCGTTTGTTACTAAGTAAAAAAGTAAGTATTACGTACGTGAACAAATAGTCCAAAATACTTACCAAATTTTTTACAATCTTCTCCCTCAGACGTATGCCTTATTGTGTGTTAAATCTAAACCAAATTGCTACTTCCCTTCTTTACACAGACTAAATTTACTTTATAAAATCAATTACAACTTTTATCATTTAAATTTGTAAAGTTTTTTTTACGATGCTAAAAATGTTAAAGTAATTTCTAAAATTTACAATTTTCAAAATCTATTTTTGAAAGCTTTGAATGTTTTTTCTTATTTATTCAAATATCAGAAGGAAAAGATAGAATCAATTTTTAGGAACGTTAAATGTTAACACTGTTTTTTCGAAAAACGTACCTAATACAACTTTTATTCTTTTTTTTAAATAAAATATTATTTTTAAATATGATCCAAAATTTAATTATATTCAAAAATAGAGCGCAATTTTTTTTTCAATTGCAAATTTTATTGCATTTCAAATTGTTTCTTAATTAGCAATTTGTAAAAGCCATTTTTGCTAAGCTTTCCAACTTTTCTTGTAAGCATTAAATAAATAAATCTATTCCAAACATTGAAAAAATCATAAAGACTTGAAATTATAACTGAAAAAATTTTTATACAAACTTTATTAATATCAAAATTAAGAAAAAGTTTTACTGCTTTATTAAGCAAAATTTTTTAGAATCAAAAATCAAATATACTGTTACTTATTACAGTAATTAATTAATATTTTGGGTATACTCTTGCAGTATTTTGTGGTTTGATATGAAGAAATAGACGAAAAATCATAAAAATTATTGTAAATCAATTAATACACTTAATAGTTTGATAATGATTATTTAAATAAATAATAAAATAATTCATAGCATTTATGAAGAAATTATTATGGTATTATGTAAAAAGTTGCAAATAATTTTGAATAGTGAAATAAATGAAAGCAAATCATGACTACTTAAAATATTAAAAATTGAAAGAAAGATAAAAAAAATTGTAATTAAAATTTAAATATTTAGTTAATTAATTTTTTGAATTTGTTAAATTAAACAAATAATTAAAATAATTTTTTAGTCAATTAAATACAAATAAAAAGGTTTGTTTATTTTTTATTCAACTAAAATATGGATAAAAGTATGTAAAACTTTTTGATTGCAATTTTTCAAACGTTTACGATGACAATTTTTCCGACGTAACAATTAAAATGATTGATTTATAGACTAAATAATAAATAAAAATTAACCGATATAAATTGTGATAATACAATTTAAAAATTCATTGAAATATAAATCAAAGTTAAAATAAACTGATTAAAAACAGCAAAATGTGTAATGTATTGAATATTTCTTGTACAATTGATAATAGCGATTATATAAGAAGGAAAAAGAACATCATATGTTACGTTATCAATCTTCTGAACTACTTTTCTTTTTGATGTTTGTTTTTTATCATTATCTTACCACGTATAGAAGTGTCCGTATTTAGTTGTTGTCCTAATTGTGGACCAACTAAACTGTAATAAGGCGTGATAACCAAATCAAATATTATTAACAACAAACTAGAAGATACTAATGGATGAAAAATTTTTTTGCACGTAAATTAGTTTCAACCAAAAGTTTTATTTTTGTTACATGAGTTTTTCAATTTAACAAAGTTTCATGTTGTATGCATGTTTAGGTATACTGTATTTAAGCCAATTTTATAATTTGATTTACAAGTAATTTAAAATCTAACTTCACAAATCTACAATAATTCATTAATTAATTGATGGTGAAATTTAGCATTTTATTATTAAATTCATTTCATATTTTGTCTTATCTTGCTTTTTTCCCAAAATATTTCAGTATTTCAAAGTAAATTTAGTCAAAAATTTATATTTTTGCATAAATTATTTTATTAATAGTTGCTAGTTGATAAATTTAGCTTGTTTACTTTAGCAATTTATTAATTTTTTAATAAACATAATACACATTAGCTTAAATATGTATATATATATTTATTTTGGCTAACATAGAGGTCATAAAATGAGCTAAGTAAAAGTTTATGCAAATTTACCAAAAATTTTTTAGAAACTCTTGAACTTCCTTCGAAAACTTAACGACTTATATACTAAACCCTCATGTTAATTCTTCATCAAGCGAAAACGATATCATTTGTTGTGTTATGGATTATTTGTAAGTTATTACTGAATTCAGTACCAAATATGTTTAAAGATTAAACAAAATCTATACATAGAAGGAAGTATTTGTTCCAATATACAGTATAATTATATCAGAATATTAAGAAAGATTAATTTTATTTAGAAACAAACTTCTAGGATTTAGGTATGACTGAAAAGGTAACAAGCTCTATTCAATTTACACGCGAAACGATGCCTGGTGCGCAATATTATGATGGTAAAATGTTAAAAATACCAATAACAGAAGAAGCAGGAATTCAGCTGTATAAACGATGGTTTATGCAAGGAATCAGCAGTATTATGTCATCCATTGCTAGTCAACAGTCAGTGATTCTGTCCTTCTTTGCATCATTTTTCAATAGAAACGGTAAAATACGCAGAAAAATTGATTACGTGGCAGAAACAAAGCGTAATACCTCAGTGATTTAAAAGCAAACAAACGCTTTTTATAATATGACTACAAACTGATTCTAATCATTTTGAACTCAAATATAAATGCTCTCAAATTTGATGAAGATCTAATAACTTTTCATATCACGTAAAAACTAATAATTTGAATAAAATAATTTAAACACATAAAAATAAATGAATAAATAATATGTTATACATATTTAGAATCTATGTTCATTAGTACATTTTTTCGTGTATTATTATCATTAGGAATACATTAACATTTTAGCACTAATCACTGAACTATTAATTACATATTAAATTTAAACATGTTTTATGAGTAAATCTTTTCAAGTATTGTTAAAGTAATTATTTACTTTGCTTACTTCAGTATGAGTAAATTAAACGAATATGAACGGAATCGAGTTCAGAAATGTTCACAAGCAGCTGAAAATATTAATGAACAAGCAAGATGTGTTATTCGTGTTATAGATTTCAAGCCTAAGCAAATGAACTTCACAAAAAGTTTCTTTACATTTTTTGATCATTTTTTGATTTTTGTAAAAGTTTCTTTACATTTTTGATTTTTGTAATAGAGTACAAAAATTTATGCAAACTCTAATAAAGTAGTAGTTTGTTTTTTTAAAAAAAACTTCTTCAAATACTCAATTAATTTCAAAAATAACTTTATAAATTTATAATTACCGGGAAAAGTATTTGTTTTTGTTTTTTCACTTGCAGTGTCTCGTATTCAGAAACTAAAAGAACATTTGGATATGAAGTATAAAAAAGTAAATGGTGCTTCTGTTCAATCTTCTTCACGTCATCGACTTGTTTACGTGAAGCCAAAAATGAATTCAGAAAAAATAATATTTCGTACAAAACGGGAAGTTATCAATCGTCAGAATTATAAGTTACGTACAGAATATGATCGTTTAACACCATTTGGTATTCTTGGCAAATATTTAACGAAGATGACAAAAGCAATTAAGAATAAAGCACCACATTCATCGTTAGTTTCAGAATTTATCGTAAATTAATTTAATCGTTTGAAGTTTTCTTATATAAAACAGAGGCAATGAAATTTGAATAATAATTTTAAAAATTAATTTAAAATAGAAAGTATTTCAAATATAAATTTTTTGCATTTTATTGAAATTCTCATTGCAGTAGTTTTACTTTTGTGATAATATTTACAAAAAATAAAAATAATTTTCTGAGAATTTTTAACTTTCTAAATTCAGTTGGAAAAAAACAATGAAGGCAATAGAAATTATGAAGCGAAATAAAGAACAGAGGCATCGTTTTTTTGAAAATATTGAAAAACGCTTGCTATCTGATGAACAAGTGAAATATTTCGAATCAAAGTTAACTCCTGTAAATGTTTGCTTTATTTTTTTCAATTTTTATAAAAATATTTGCATATTTTGACTCAAATATTAAATGTAATGAGGTAAAATTTGATATGCCTTCAAAAAAGCCTATAGTGTGTTTAAGTAATAACAAGAATTATTTTAACTGCTATGATAAAAGGCTATTATATTAGTAATAAAGGCTTTAAAGACTTTAATAATAAAGCTTTTAACAAAGGCTTTTGAGACTTTAAGGCTTTATTAATTGACTAATTAAATTACAGTTTTTTCTCAGAGTTATCAACAATCTTTCAACGTATATCATTAAATATAATTTGTTTTTTTTAGTAAATAAAATTCATATTTATAAATTAATCAAAGTAATATGAATAAAAATTAAAGATTATTGTCAGGAAGAAAAGGATTTTGTAGAAGAATTCCATGTACCGAATCATATTATTAAACGATTGAGGAAAAATAATGAAAATGCTCAAAAAACTCTCGAAATTATTAGACTTTTTCAACGATCAATAAAACTTGCATTGATTTTAAATGGCGCAAATGGCACTAAGCTAGCCAATAAAACTTTCATATTTGGTTCACCACGTTTACTTTCCTTAGTACCAAATGATATCCAAAACGAGGTTAATCCTTTATCATTATTATTATTATTATTATTATTATTATTAAATTATATTATATTATATTATATTATATTATATTATATTATATT